CCCATCTGATACAAGCCGATGTTTGCGTTGTATTAATATCAAAATAAATTTCTATCTGCCGTGTGACATAATCACAAAGTTTTTCATCTAGGAGCCATTTAGGGTGAAATCTCCATTTTGGAGGGTTACTTAATAGCCTAGGGTCAGAATATGTGAGTATTATAGGGGCGTGGTCTGAAATTACTATTGTATCATAAAAGCAATCAGTAATATATGACAAAATTGTTGCTGAAATTAAAAAATAGTCGATTCTGGAATAGGACTGGTGTGTTCTAGAGAAGCAAGAGTATTGGATATCCTTAGGATGTAGTTGTCTCCAAATTTCTGATAAATTTAAGTCCTTTATAAAATAATGAAGGGTCTTTCTGGTCTGTCTATGAGACTGATCGCAGCCAGAGAAGCGATCTCTAATTGGATCCAGTGTACAATTGAAATCCCCAGCAATTACATATGACCCAGAGAGACTGGATAAAGTCAGAAAGAGGTTACTATAACATTTTGGGATGTCATCATTAGGACCATAGATATTGACAAGAATCAGTGATTTAGATAGTAAAGTCCCTTGAACAATTAAATATCTACCTGAAGGATCCTGTATTGTCTTAACTGTTTGAAAAGGAATTGATTTATGGATCATTGTAATAACCCCTCTTGCCTGGGAGCTAAATGAAGCTAAAAAAACACTTGACCAGGCCATCTATTACGTATTCTACATATATCATTTGACATTAAATGTGTTTCCTGGAGGAAAACTATTTTAGATTGTAGCTGCTTTATCCTAGTCATCACTTGTTTGATTTTAGTAAGAGTATGCAACCCCCTACAGTTCCATGAAATGAACTTAACCTCTCTAATCTCTGCCAAATTTTATACTATGAGATAATCCAATACACTCCCTCATTTTGAAACATAAAATCACCTGTATCGTGTAGCAATACAAAATAAAAATAAAGGCCAAAACAAATAAAAACATCAAATAGAAACACTTTAACACCACAACTATGTATTGCCGAGAACCACCAGCAAATACACACACTACTTTACTTCTAACTTCCCCCATATAACTGGGTATACCAAAAAGAAAAAAACACACCAAAGAAAATACCCTTACGAAGAGTCGTTTCCCACCTGAGCTCCGCTGGATTTACCATGTCCCCTTATACAGAATGTCAACATGAATGCTCGTCCGTTATACACATATTCCCGTCGTTGAAATAATGCCACCAGATTATAAATTCGTTAGAAAGTTGTCAACTTCGGATGGCGTTTGAAAGACGTGAGATCGGCCATTAACAGTTACCCGAAGACGAGCTGGGAAGATGAATCCATACAGTAGGCCCTTAGCTCGTAACTTTCTCTTGACTTCGTCGAATTGTCTGCGTTGCTTGTTTACATCAGCAGAAAGGTCTGGAAATAACATGACTCGATGGTTTTGGAACAGCACGTCTTTCTTCACCCTAGCCGCATGCATTACGCGCTCCTTGTCTCTATAATCCAGGAATTTCAGGATCATCACTCTCGGTGTTGAATTTGTGTCCGTATCAGACCTTCGAGTACTGCCAATCCTGTGTGCCCTTTCTATAGCCAAGGGTTTTCGCAGAGGCTCCATGTCCAGCGCCTCAGGTAGCCAACTTTCTAGGAACGCACATGCGTCACTACCCTCGGATGTTTCTGGTAAACCTAAGATTCTCAGATTGGAGCGTCTGCTTCGATTCTCCAGGTCATCAATTTTCCAGGTAAGTGCGGCTAAGTTCTTTTCGAGAACACTGGTCTTCGATTGAAGTGTAGAAATCGAATCTTCGGTTTGTGAGATTCGTTCCTCCGTCTGCGTCAATCTTCCGAAACATTCTGCCGCTTGGTTTTTGACATCTTGTACAGCTAAAAGTACCGTTTCAAATTGAGAAGCCATATCGACTCTAACTGAGTGTATTGCCTGAAGGATGTCACTTGTGTCAGAGTGGGAAGTGCTCGCATGGTCTCCAAAACTCGGCGGTGGATTTTCTTCGCCATGAGCAGCACCCGGCAATTCGTCCATGCCCTCGGAGTCGGAGACAATATCTGTTACTTTTTTCGGTTTCTGTTTTGCTGGTTTCGGCGACATCTTAGACAGAATTCACTTGAAAAACAAATCGTGGTCGAAGTTTGAAGAAAGCAGGGGTAAAATTTAGAAAATATCTTTACAAATTACAGCGGAGCCAACTCGTGCGTCTTGTCAGCGCGTCGCCATAACCGGAACTTGCTTATGTAAGTTAACATAAAACTTTCGATCTTTAAAATGCAGTAGTACATGTTGAGATTAACATTAAATAAGATTAATAAATGCTGTAGAAGTATTGTTCATTAATAGTTCATGTTATCTAATGTAATTAACTAATGTTAGCAAATGAAACCTTATTGTAAAGTGTTACTGATATTTTTAAGTGTGTCCAAATAATACTTTATGGGCCCACATATAAATTGATTCAGTTTTCACTGATTAACATCAGTAAATTCAGTGTGTGTGTGTGTGTGTGTGTGTGTGTGTGATGCAGAGAGAGCCGTGAATGTACAAAAAATATTTGTTTTTGCCATACACGTTATAGCCCAGACTGAATTAGAGCTAATTTCTCTAACTCATTTAAACACCCCCCTCTCTCTCTCTCTCTCTCTCTCTCTCTCTCTCTCTCTCTCTCTCTCTCTCTCTCTCTCTCTCTCTCTCTCTCTCTCTCTCTCTCTCTCTCTCTCTCTCTCTCTCTTTCCCTCTCTCACTCTCTCTCTCTCTCTCAGTATGAAAGGGTTTTCTTTCACAGATTCGATTACATTGACTGACTTGTGACTGGTGCTGATGTGGTTGTGTCTGAAGTCTTGTGTTTCACATTAGTTGTTTTCTTTATCTGATTGGTGGAAACATGCAGTGACATGACATCAGAAATCAACAGCATCAGGCAGCTAATAATCAGCCAATAACCCTTCAACAGTTTTCTCAACCTATTGGTGTGCCATACACTGCCCGGCCCAAAACATGTGCTGTTTGGATTTTAATAGGCAGATGCTTAAAAAGTCTATGACTGGATCATTATTGCAGTGATTAGTATGCTTGTAGCATGATATATGTTTGGCAACAATTCGTCCAACCCTAATTGAGTGTGCAGCCTTTTTATTTATTTCTTAAACAAACATGTAGGAAGACACATCATGGCCATATTCCAGGATGACAATGTCAAGATTCATCAGGCTCAAATTGTGAAAAAATGGTTGTGAGGAGCATGAAGAATAATTTTCACACATGAATCCAGAGTTTAAACTCATTGAAAGTGTTTGGGATGTGCTGGAGGAGACTTTACAGAGTGCTGTACTCTTGCACTGACAATACAAGATCTTGAGGAAAAACTGATGCACCTCTTGATGAAAATAACATCACAATTTTTGTATTGACAATGCAAGAGTCAAGCACTCTGTATAAAATATTTAAAATATATATATATTTTGTAGATTTTACTTAAATAGAAACTGATAATGCTAGATTTCACTAGATGAGGGTGTTCTGGGTGATTACTGATTGATTCAAATTAAAAAGAGTCTAAAAGCAAGTGTCATTTATTATTTAAAAAGGTATTATGATATTTTTTTCAAGAAAGTGTAATTTAAATGGAGTGACATTAAAAAAAATTGGGCCAAATTTACTAACGGCTTCCTCCAGCGCTTTTTTGCTCTTTTGCTGTTAAAAAACTACTGTCAGGATTTACTAAAGACACACATTGAAAATTTAGCGCTGAAAGGTTGAGGACAGGGTTATTTTTGCGGCTTATCTTATTGCATATGCATTTGTTGGAGTTTCCCTTCCAGACGCTAAATTTATTGGAGGAGAGAATTTAAATAGATCATACAAGGTGATTTACTAAGAATGAGCTAGTCAATTTACTGGTATTTGTGCCATTATTTTTTTACTGCCTAAAAAAGCATGTCTTAAAGGAACACGCCGACTTTTTGGGACTTTAGCTTATTCACCGTATCCCCCAGAGTTAGATAAGTCCACACATACCTTTTTCATCTCTGTGCGTGCTGTAACTCTATCTGACGCACCCACCGCTAGCCTAGCTTAGCACAAAGACTGGATGTAAATGGCTCCAGCTAGCATACTAATCCCAATAAGTGACAAAATAACGCAAACATTTTCCTATTTACATGTTGCGATTTGTAAAGTCACGGAGTGTACAAATAACAAGGTCATATGAGACACAGCCATCTTTTAACCGTATAAATATTGGGAACTATATTCTCTGAAGGCGAAGCACTGCTACTTGGGCGGAGTGATAACCGCAGCACCTGAGACGCGCCGTGGTGAGGAGCAGAGAGTTCGTTCAGAGTTGGAGTAATAGAGTCAGCAATTACTAGATAGAAAAGCATAGTTCATCATGGGTGTTCGTTGTATTGTAAAGAGCTGCGACAATAAACAGTGGAGACCAGGTAATACCAAAAGATGTCTGTGTCTCATATGATCTTTTTATTTGTACACTCTGTGACTATACAAATCACAACATGTAAATAGGAAAATGTTTGCGTTATTTTGTCACTTATTGGGATTAGTATGCTAGCTGGAGCCATTTACATCCAGTCTTTGTGCTAAGCTAGGCTAGCGGTGGGTGCGTCAGATAGAGTTAGAGCACGCACGGAGATGAAAAAGGTATGTGTGGACTTACCTAACTCTGGGGGATATGGTGAATAGGCTAAAGTCCCAAAAAGTCGGCGTGTTCCTTTAAACCAGATGCTAATTGGTAGATTGCGTTGGTCATTATGGAAATGATCCGGATGCGTCTGTGTTCTTTAATTTGTGTGTCGTCAGTAGATCACGCGCAGAACTTTCCACTCTCATCTGCGCTTTTTTGGGATTGCGCTCTCACACTAATTTGCCCTGTTTAGTAAATCTGGCCCTAACTGTGACTTAAGCTTCCATATACTTTATGGGATCCCATAAGTCATATTTATTCAAATTGCTGTGGTTGCTTTGTTTGTTCCTACAGATTTCCAGTGCTCAGGGTTCGATGGTTAGTGGGAGCTAATGTATGCGGGACAGCGATACCTTCGCAGGTAAACACAGTCACACACACTCAACACAGCTTTACCTTACATACATGCGTTCACTGCTGTAACCTGTACACTTTATACCACCGTAACGTGATCAACACGGAAGCTTTAGGTACACCATAACCTATATGTGCGCAAACACACTCCGTATTAGCAGGAGTCTCATATCTGTGGAGAGGAAGAGAGGTCAGAGGTCATGCTCGGGGGGCCCTGAGGTGGTTTTATGTTTCTGGTGAGTGTACAGACAACAGACAGACAACACTACACACATGATACTGCTCTGAATGCCAGTCTGTGGAGGGCAGATAAAGACGGTAGTGTGAACGGGAGAGAGAGGGTCGACTGTGGCGTGATATGAGATCTGCATCTCGTAGTCGGTGACACGGACGCTCTATATTTGGGAGCTGAAGCACGACTGATGACCCCTAGATCCACTCCACCACCTGCTCACACACACACCAGGGTTGTGTGTCATTGGGAACAGAGCCCAACTGTCAGGTTCTGGAAGTAAAATCTCATTCATTTCCTTCGTTGCGGAAGTGATTTGTAATGAAATTGCATTAATGGTTCAAGAGCATCTGAGACTGTAGGGATGAAAATACTTTTGTAGAAACCAAAAGTCAGTTTGATTTCAACTACACTACACTCAGTCCGTTTGAAGAACCACATAAAACGAACTCCAAAAGAACTCAGTAGCAGCCACCCACTCCCAAGAATCATTTCAAATAACATAATCAGGTTGGTCTCATTGCATATATATTTGGATATGTTTTAATACATATGCTGTATGCTGCTTTTTTATGGCTTTTAACAGAGAAAGATACTTTTTTTGTATCAGTATGGTAGGTAGGGCTGGGTGTTGATCCAGCTGTTTCGATTCGATTTCGATTCACAAGCTCTCGATTCGATTTCGATTCTCGATTTCGATTCTCGATTTCGATTCGATTTTCGATTTCGATTCTAAATTTGATTTTCGATTCGACTCAATGAATATAGATTAGGTAGGTAGGGCTGGGTGTTGATTCAGCTGTTTCGATTCGATTTCGATTCACAAGCTCTCGATTCGATTTCGATTCTCGATTCGATTCGATTTTCGGTTTCGATTCTAAATTTGATTTTCGATTCGACTCAATGAATATAGATTAGGTAGGTAGGGCTGGGTATACATTCAGCTGTTCCAATTCGATTCGATTTCGATTCACAAGCTCTCAATTCGATTCGATTTTTGATTTCGATTCTAAATTCAATTTTCGATTCGACTCAATGAATATAGATTTAATACAAATCCTATATTTATAAAAAAGAACAGTGAACATAAGTTTACAAGTGGTTAATTAATAAAAAGAAATTAAGAGCCACAACCCTGTATATTAAACTCTTTTTATTTTAGGTACACTTGAGTATATTAAAACAGAACCCAACTCTATATTTCAAATGCATACAATGAATAGACAAGATTTTGATTCAAGATGAAAAATTGATGCTGAAAATTGAGTCAGAACAGTCGCATGCCTTAATCAAACAGGATCAGGTTATTTTATGTTTAAGATAAAACAAACATAAAATCTCACAGCATTAGCTGTAACATGGAGGCTACAAGCCTATGAACAGTGCAGGAAAACTAATACTGGCTTTTGGGTGATAGATAAATAAATATGGAAAAAATTGATTCGTGGCCTTTGAGAATTGATTTTGAATCAAACACTTTAAAAAAAAAAAAAGATTAATCGAAAAATCTTCTTTTTTTTTTTCAGCCCTATCGGTACAGTAGGTAGTGCATCTTAACCAGCAGGGGCTAACCAGACAAACCTCAATGCCCAGGTCTAATGTATATTGCTCTCGAATATGGCAAGAATTTATTTGGCTGGATTTGGGCTACAGATTCGAAAAGCGCACACAGTTTTATCAGTTCACTGTGAAACAAACTTGCCACGTTTACAAATTCCCAGGCTGCTACAGTGAACGTCTTTGAAGGATAATTACAATTTCATTTAAAGCATTTAGTATCAAGTCAATTTCTTTTTTTCCATACCTGTATATGCTATGATCTATTTTAAGATAAACCCCTCCTTTAAATGACATGCAAAGACAAAACAAAGCGGTTGGTGCATTTACATATCGCTCTAAAAATCTCTTCCTGTCTAAGTGGGCGGTTCGTGGTCAGACTAAGCTGACTGATATAAAGACACATGCACGCTTCAATTCCTCATCCTTTCTCTTCTTGTTCTCTTTACTCCATTCATCCGTCTTTCTTTTCTTCCGGGTGGGATATTGTATGTTTTCACAGGCAGTCGACTTTTTCACAGTGCTCTGACTGACTGACTGATCCTAAGACAGAGGTCGAAGGTCATGTTCAGAGGTCCTGACCTCCAGGGGAATGTCTGCGTGGGAGTGGTTATCAGAGCTTTAAGTAGGATCCATTTGCGTACATTTTTTTTTGTTGAGGCGTGCAGGTGTAAAAACAGTTGAGGTTTTATGTCCAGACTGAAACATGTGGGGATGTTTATGCCATTTACCTGATTGGGTTCCTAAATGACACTATTAGTGGCTGCAATTCATTCGTTGTGAATTTCCCATTTTTTTAACGGCTATTTGAGATTTTATTTATTTATCAGTAATTTCCTCTATTTTTTCATTTCATTAATATTTACTTAAAGCTGCAGTCCGTAGCTTTTTTGGGTTAAAAATGATCCAAAATAAATTTTTGAGCAAGTACATAACCAGCCAGTGTTCAAAACTCTCTGCTTGCCGTAGCTCGATTCAAAACGGTAAGCTTGTAATAATGTTTTTAACTCCAGTGGTACTGGTGGATTTCCGCGGGAGATTCGAGCATGTCTTTGCGTCATTACGTCACATCTGTACACATAAAGGAGTCTCGGCTAGTAGGCTATGTTGCGTGTGAGGATGTTGGAGGTGGAGATTTATAGCCTTTTCTCACAGCACTTGATAAAATTAAATTTATTAATTTGATGGCGGATCCAGAAAGGTTCAAAAGACAATCACCAGTGACAACAGGAGATTCACCCTCTGTAAAATGCAAAAGACTTTGGACTGAGAGTTTGGAAAAAGAGACTGCAACCGGACCCATGCGAAAACAAGGATAAATATCTGAAGGGCATTAAATCTAGTCACGCAATGCTGATGGTGAACATTAACAATTTGAGAACAAAGTATAATTTGCACGGTTTTACGTGATATGATAAGCGATCGTTAGATTTAATCAACGCGATTTACTATGATTTTTTCCCCTTAGTTGGTCAGAACAAAAGTGGATGTTACTTGCACAGATGACATTTTCCGGTGAAAATTATGATGTTGGTCATACTTCCAAAAAGAATAATCTATGATTCTGAATGCCAGTATCCACACCGGCGCGTGACTAAACAGCTGCACACTCTCCTCAAACATTGGATTCATCCGCGCTGTGCCGTGTCGAGACACAACCCACGTAAAGTTGATATATTTGCGAATGACTACAATTGCTCATTTAAAAAGAATAACTTGTTATTTAATTATTGGCCATGTATCAGTTTATCATGTATTTATTTTTGGCTTTTTTAAAGGTATACTTTGTAACTTTACAAAATGTAATGAGTGAGTACATCATGAATCCATTTTCCAAACTGTTTTTTGTTCTATCCTGGACAAATAGGTGTTACATTATACTTTTTTAGACCGGGCGGGACGACAACCACTGCGGAGTAGCCCAGTACCTGCGTGACTCGTCATAAACATAAACGGAGAGAAGTAGCTCCAGCTACAATGTTCATCTGCAAGACGCATTCACTTTTGTTTATTAACCGCTAGAGCACCTAAAGTTACATAGTGTACCTTTACATCACCCAGAATTGCAGCCCGACCATACATACATTTCTGTCATGAACAAAACCTTTCCAGAGTACTTCGAACCCACAACCTTGATCCTTAACTGCTTATGTTCCCATCCAGAACGATTTAATGTGAATAGGGGCTTCCTTTTAGCACTTTTACAAATGTTAAACATTTGCCCTTCAAACTCCTGACAATAACGTGTAAAAATAGATCAAATAGAGAGTCTAAACAGACACATTTCTGTCTGCGTCCTGTCTTGTCATGTGTAATTGCTATTACTTCCTCTTGCCTTGTTTTCTGTCTCTTTCTCTCTCTGTTTAATGTTTTCTGCCCTCTGCGACCCTTTTGCTTTTGTATCATTCTTTCTTTTCCTCTAATTGGCACCTCGTTAGGGAATGCTTAATTGGAGGGATGAGCCAGGTGGCAGCGGAGCCGCTATGGCCCTCGTTAGTGTGTGAAAGTGTGTGCGTGTTTGTCTTTGTTTAAGCAGAATAAATGTGGAGCAGTCTGCATGTGCTGATTATGTTCCATTCACCCATGTTGAACTCTAACACATTCCCCTCACGGCCCGCTAACACACACACACACACACACTCACTCTGCCTCGCTGTCTGTGTGCCGTTGACCATTTCCATTGATTCTAACTAGACAATAATAAAACGCAAAACAACAAGCATTTAGTGCATTGAAACGGTTATGATAAATTTAGATGATAAACTTTGATTTTTTTCATGCAAAAATGGGAAGTCATTATTTACTCACCCTCTTATTATTCAAACAATAGTATGTCACATTCAAGATGTGCATGTCCCAGTCATCATTTTGGAACTAAAACGGGTATTTTGTATTTTTAGTCCAATTTTATGTAAAAATTACTTCACAATTTTGCATTCAAAACGTTAAGCAACAAGGTCAGGTGCATTGCATTGTGGGATACAATATTTCTAGTATTCCTGCATTGTACTGGTAGTCTGGTTGTCTCCTGTATGTGTTGTAGTTGTGAGTATACAGTACCGTGCTCAGTATACTGGATTGTGTAAAAATAGTTTAGTAGTATGCCATTCCGAACATAGTCTTGTTTTGATCATTGAACCAGTTCAAATGAATGATTCGTTCACAAATTGGACGTTGCCTTGTGTGTCATTGCTTATTGATAGTGAGTTCAGTGGCTC